TCGTTCATCTGATTATGGGCGGGCTGGTCATCCCAAGATTTCTACCCTATTCTAATAGGGAGAGGAAGAATAAAGTATATTTAATACGCTAAAAAAGGTGTTTATATTAGGACTAGTATTAATATAATAGAACCTAGCTAAAGAAATATTATTAGAAGTAGACTATTTAGGATATACTCTTAGGGGTTGCTTATTATAAAAAGTTAGAGGCGTCTAGCGCCTAGTTACTTACTACTCTATAGCACTAATACTAGAGAGATAAAACTACACTATATATAATAAAGAATTACTTACTATTATTAAGTGTCTTAAAAGTTAGTTAGTAGAGTTATAGAGCGTTTATAAGCTATTTATAATATTTATAGACTATAAAAACTTAGAGTACTTTACTAGCCTTTAAAGCTTAAGTAAGTAATAGTGCTGCTAGGTAGAGGAACTTTTAAAATATTAGTACATCCTATAGTATAGGCCTAGCTATCTTATAGGATAACCTAATACCTTAAGTAGAAAACTATAAGATTTAAACTCCTCTAAAGCAACACTATAGTTAGTAATGCGCGCTAAATTAATCTAGGTTATAGTATTAGAAGTAGAGGAGGCGTCTAAGTTACTAAAGGGCGCTAGCCTCTTTGCTAACCTGCACATGCAGACACTATAGGATAAAGCGGTATTAGAAGATAAGATATACTAAGTGCGTCTTAATATAGTTTAGAAAGGCGCTAGGTCTTTCCTAGTTTTAGCTAATACAAAGTAATAGATAGGGGACTATGCAATTAGCGCATATAGCACTTTGCTTTAGAGGGGCGTTATTTAGTTACTAATATAGGAACCCCTTATAAATACTATTATATAGCAAGTATATAAATTAGGTTTAGTAGGATATCTAGGGAAGAATATAATATTTTAAATACTGCACTATAACTATTATTAGGATAGAATATTAGGAGACGTTACGTAGTATATTTAGAACTACTATTATTATAGTGCTTATATCTCCTAGAAGCGCTAATAGGGTCTATTATAACCTATACTAGTTACGTTATAATACTAGTCCTAAATATCTATAGATTTTATAGTTAACCTACCTATAAAAGATAATAGCAAACCTTAGTTCCTATTAGTTATTACTAACAGATTGTCTAAATATATTTAGCTTAAAGTAATAGTCTTTATAGTAGCTAATTATTGTGCAAGGATCTTCTAGGACAACTAGTAGTAGTTCTAGGGCTTCCTATCCTCTATTATTACTAACTAAGGCTTAGACTAGTTAGGATCCTTCTAGACAATATTGTGCTAGATAACAAAGATAAACTAGTTACTGTCTACTGCATACCACCCCTAGATAGATAGCAGGATAGAGCGGGCAAACTAAGAGGTGTAGGTGG